ATGTCAGAGTTTGGCTGTTGATGGATGAAGCTAACCAGGTTTAGCTCCTGCTAACAGTTTAGCTCCTGCTAATAGTTTAGCTTGTGCTAATAGCTTAGCTCCTGCTAACAGTTTAGCTTGTGCTAACAGTTTAACTCCTGCTAACAGCTTAGCTCCTGCTAACCTTTAGCTCGTGCTAACATTTAGCTCCTGCTAACATTTAGCTCCTGCTAACATTTAGCTCCTGCTAACATTTAGTTCGTGCTAACATTTAGCCCCTGCTAACATTTAGCCCCTGCTAACATTTAGCCCCTGCTAACAGTCCCTGTTCGCTCAGACCTGTCAGTCTGACTCGACTCTGGATAAAAACACGTTAACGATGTTTACCGGTGTAGACGAAGCGACCCGGCGCTCCTTTGCAGAACTGTTTGGACTTGTAGGACAGCGTGACCTCCACGACCCCAGGGATGTGTCGAGGGGGGGTCTGGACCCGGATTGCATGGGGGGTGATCAGCTGAAACACAGGAAATAAAAACCTGTTAGAGCGACTGAGGSAAGATGAGGATTTCAAAATAAAAGTTTCTGTTCTGTATCTTTAAAGAATCTGGACTGAAGTTTTCAGAACATCTCAGATCGGACCGGTTTCTTCTCCTTTGGTTTTGACGCCTGCAGGAAGAACATCTGGATCCACCAGCAGCAGGAGGTTCTGATTCCCTGGGATCTGGGTCAGCGTGCTCTCTGCGTTCAGAGGGATGCTGGGCGTTGGAGTCCACGTGCTCGGCGCTGATCAAAGCCGGGAGCTCCGTCAGCACCGTGTGATGTGAGGCCGGCGGCGTGCGGAGGTTCCTCCCAGCTCCGCCCCCTCCAGGTGTTCCGCTCTTCTGGACCTGCTTCAATATTTCATGCAGCACCGTCTGCACAGCTCCTCACATCTACATATTCATCAGGACAGAACCAGATGCAGGTGTTCCTGCGACACCGCGGTGCGGCGTCTTCATCATGATGATGATGATGATGATGATGAGCAGAGGATGAAGATCTACAGATGTTCTCAAAAAATTTAAAAAACCCTTTGAGTTTTTCCTCTGAAACTGATCAGATTCACCTGAAAAACCAGCACAGGCAGGAAGAACTGACGGACCAGGGGCCTGACTAACGTCCAGGGTCCAGAGATACAAAAATCCTGATATCCAAAGATCCAAGTGTCCAAAAATCCAAAGATCCAAAGATCCAAAGAGCCAAAGATCCAAAGATCCAAAGAGCCAAAGATCCAAAGATCTAAAGAGACAAAGAGCCAAAGAGCCAAAGATCCAAAGATCCAAAGAGCCAAAGATCCAAAGAGCCAAAGATCCAAAGATCCAAAGATCCAAAGAGCCAAAGATCTAAAGAGCCAAAGATCTAAAGAGCCAAAGAGCCAAAGAGCCAAAGATCTAAAGAGCCAAAGAGCCAAAGATCCAAAGAGCCAAAGAGCCAAAGACCCAAAGATCCAAAGAGCCAAAGATCCAAAGATCCAAAGAGCCAAAGAGCCAAAGATCCAAAGATCTAAAGATCCAAAGAGCCAAAGAGCCAAAGATCCAAAGATCCAAAGAGCCAAAGATCCAAAGAGCCAAAGAGCCAAAGAGCCAAAGATCCAAAGATCTAAAGATCCAAAGAGCCAAAGATCTAAAGAGCCAAAGGGCCAAAGAGCCAAAGAGCCAAAGATCCAAAGATCCAAAGATCCAAAGAGCCAAAGATCCAAAGATCCAAAGATCCAAAGATCCAAAGATCCAAAGATCTAAAGAGCCAAAGATCCAAAGATCTAAAGAGCCAAAGACCCAAAGATCTAAAG